AGTACAAAAACGGACAAAAAGGAGGTGTGCTTCAGAAATCAGCAATAGCTGAAAAACTGGGAATTTTCAAAAAATTGTGCGAATACAAAGTTTTCAATCTAGGTCTGTTTTACATCCTCCAAAATTTTCAATTCGGAAACTTGATAGCCGATCTCTAGACTTCTGGAAATGGCGAAAAATTAAATGGTACTGTTGTTAGATTTCTAGAAATGAAAGGTAAAAGTCTCTTATTCCAAGGATCTGGAACATTTCAGGAATCACTTAATACACATCCACTAAACAAATTATTCCGATCTAATCCCTGAAACATTAATCCTTTCCCCCCGTACCGTTTCACGTCCAATGCCCAGTATATGCTGGCTGCTGAAGCTTTTCCCCAGATTTTTGTAGTCGTGCTTTTGCATGTCTCTTGTTCCTGAAAATCATAAATTTTATTTTTTTGAATTAAATCTCAGTTAGTTTCTCACCTCAAACCAGAGTGTGGTGATTGCTTCCAATGATACTGACTTGGTCTTTTTGGTTGGGAAATGATAATTTTTCACAAAAAGAGTGAACTGTCCAAGTCGGACGTATTCGTCTTCGTACAGGATTGACATATTGTTTTGCAGAAGACTGAACTGAAAATAAGAAAAAAAATTAAAGAATAATAGAAAAAAAGAAGTGGGCGGGGTGTTCAAACGAAAACAATCGAGATAGTATCAAAAAAGGAATTAGATAGGTTATAAGAAGAAGAAAAAAGGAAGAATAACAATTGATAGACAGTGAAAATATGTTTTTCTAGCTATATAATCCCATTGGGGGAGATAGATTCTGTTTTTTTTTCTTCCGAAGAAATAGGACATGTGAGGTCTTCGGGAAGCTCAGTGGGAAATAAAAATATAAGGAATATATAAAAGTTTTTGATAAATCTTCGAGGAATCCCGAGATAGGATGAATTAGAGAGTTAGAGATGGAGCAAATGCGTCAATGATAAGGGAGAGAGGGTGAGAATTAAAACAAATTAGGAATCGAGAGAGGGAGGAGAAGGATAAGGATGATGATGTGATATGGATGGATGACTATGGGATTAGATATATGAACTAATCCAAGGAGAAACTTTTTGAGCTGGAAAAGGTTTACTATACGATTTATTGGGAATGATATTTAAGAAGACAATGAACAATACGAAATTTTTTAAAATCCAAATTTAGGATTTCAGAGCATCCAGAAACTTAGGAGCTGAATATTTGGGTAATATCGTTATCTTCTCGATTTTCAAGACTTCTCAAGAGTTTAGAAGAAAATTTACTATAGATGAATAGAGGTTCTACGCTTCGAATTATGGATAATTCACCTTATTTCGTCTAAGCCGACCCAGACAGTCAACTTTGAGCTAATTTATCTCGGCTCCTATGATAGTTATTTAAAAATTGACACCTGATAAAATATTGCCTATTTTATGTTAAATATTTTATTAGTTGACAACTTTTTTGTACCTTTACGAGAATTGAGATAATTGAGCTCAATTTTGTTAAAATACTTGCAATAAAATTACAAACATTTTATTAATGTACATATGCGCTCTAACGGGAACCCACCCAAACCGTCAACTTTGAGCTTAATTATCTCGATTCCTATTAGAGATATCAAAAAATTGTCAACCGACAAAATATTGGTTATCTTACGATAAACATTTTATCAGTTGACAATTTTTTGATATCTTTCACAGGAATCGAGATAATTGAGCTCAAATTAATCGGTTTGGTTGGGCTTTTTTTAAAGGTGGGGGGGGGGGGGGGGGCAGGAGATTTTTCGTAGTTTTTTTGTAGCTAGAGTATGCATTCTACCGTCACGGTGTACAACGCTTAATGTCACTCTGCGTACATCTGTCGTCCTCGCCTTTATGTATGCAAACGGGTATGCGTTTTCTCTTTGCACGCGTGGCTCAGTCGGTAGCGGCGCCGCACCCTCAATCATCGCCCTCACAAGTTCAACTCCTCGAGGGGCATCGTTGAACGGAATTTCGAGAACATTATTTTTTTCATGTCCCCCCACCTTTAAATACGGTAACATGTCTTGTCTTTACTAATTCTCAAATTATCCAAAACAAATGAATTTTTGTTTACCAACTTTTGCAAACATAGACTCATCGAAGTGAATCTAGAATAAGTCAGCTTCTTATATTTATAGAAACAACTTTTTTAGGAACGCATCATCTGAAAATTTTTGATTAATGCGGAAGAAGTTCAGCATTTCAGAAATTTCCAGAATTCGGTTCGAATGATTCGATTGGATTCGTTTCGCGCGTCAAACCGAGCAAAAGAGCTGGATGCATTTCCGCCTCAGACCGGATATCTGATTAGCAAGAAAAAAACTTCTTTTAAATGTTATCACTTTTCTGGAATGGACTACGGTAGTTGTTATTTTGCACACAATTTAAAGTTTTGTTATCGAAAAATAGACTAACAAGTGAGTCAGAGAACTGATTCGATAGGTATTGTGCCAGGAAGAAAAATGGACAATTTAAATAGAAGAGATGGGTCTCTGAAGATGTAAATACGTGAGCAAGCCATTCGGGGGAGGAGCGAGAAGAAGATTGAGGGTGGATTTAGATTGGAAAATAAGACAAAAATAGATTCAAATGAGACATCTTCGAGAAATATACGGACAACTTTTGAATAATTTTGTGGAGGAAAACTTGGAATTTAGGAATATAAATCTAGATGACGTCGATTGAGGAAGTACGGAAATAGAAGGAGATTAGCGTAACTCCCAGTGAGTTCTTATTTGTGATTTTTCAACTTTTTAGTCTTGGATATTCAGAGCAACCTTTAATTCAAAAAAATTGAAAATTAATTCCGCCAGTCAAGTTTGAGCTAAATTATCTCGATCCCTATAAAAGATATCAAAAAGTAACCAACTGATGAATTATTTATCATAAAATCACCAATTTATCAGTTGATAAATTTTTGAAATCTTTTAAAGGGGCCGAGATAATTGAGCTCAAAGGTGACGGTTTAAGTGGGCTTCTATTAGAAAATATACGGTAAATATGGAAACGGAAATAGCATATTTTTTGGTCCGAACCGGTCCTGAGCTAGGGGCAAGGCTTGGGACATCTTTTTTCATTGAAAGGTTTCAACATTGTTGATTATTTTCTCAAAAAAATTATCGAATTCTCGAAAAATCTTCCGAAAAAATCTGTTTCTGTACAAACAGCGGCCAGGCCTGGCCCGCTAAAATTATGGAAAATAGTAATTGAATTTTTATAAAATCAAATTTCGGAAAAAAATTATTGAAGGTTCCTCTTTTCGAACGCTTTTATGAGGTTTCCAGTTCGTTTTATTACTAGTTTTCTATTTTTTTAAAAGAAAAATTTCGAACTCGAACTGATTCTTGAAGGTCTTCAGAAAACGAACATTTATTTATCCTTATTTGACGCTTTCATAAAAATATCATAACACAAAAAATAGGATTGAGAAAAATTCCAAATATTTTTTACTGGATCAAAAATCAAGGAGTGTAAGAGCCAATAACAGTGAGCCTCACTATCAGGCTCAAGACTGAAAAATGAACTAAAGTTCTTCAAGCTATGAGTAGTAGGATCTATACATCCTCATCTTCTCTTTTATATTTATTATGAAAATTCCCTCCTTCCTACTTTCGTCATCGGTAATGCTCTCTATTCATCTTGATCTGAATAGGCTGTACAACTATGACATCAATGTCCTACTTTCATCTGAAATAATCCACTCTGACCCCAAGGAGTGAAGACGCATGTCTAGGATAACAGAGGATAATCAGAATCTTCTCGAAGGATCGTACGATTATATCGAACTGCTGGTGTCAGAAGCGGCTTAGGCTATTCTGGGAAACCGACGGTTCTGTTGATTTTTTCATGATGCTTTGTGATGTAAGAGGAAGTTTATCAGGGTGGAGTCGTATAGTGAGCTATAAACAGGGAAGCCAATTGTTCTAGACAGTACTGTGGGGACAATTTCCCATAAGGTTTTTTTTATTTCTTAAAATAAATGTATCATGTCTGGTCAACAGGAAGTGTGAATAACTGAACAGAATTTTGAAGTTTCGAAGTTCCGAAATTTCAGAATCTCAAAAACTCAGAATTCCCGAACCACACAAGTTCGAATGTTTAGATTTTCCGATCTTTCAAATTTTCACAACTCCAGAATTGCAGGGTTTCAGAATCTCAGGGTCGCATATATCCATAATTGTAGAAGTTTGTGGGACAAATGAAACAAGTAAGCATCAGAAAAAAATTTATTTTGACCGATTAATGTCTATGGGTTGTACTCGATTGGGAGGTTCTTACGACGGACCATTCCGTCTCCCTGGAACCATTCACGACGGAACTGCTTTGCGGCGCCGTCTGGGGTGTTGGTCCATTCGATGGTGATACGGTCGTTGTTGGTGTCCTGGAAATTATCTTTATGAAAAATGAATTTGAAGATAAGGAAAAAGGATAAAGGAAAATGAGACTGATGGGGAAAAGGGGGGGGGGGGGGGAAAGCGGGAAAATGAAAAAAGTCGAAATCTGAAACCAACCTCTTGTCCGAAGGCAAAAGCATCACAAGACACGGCCAAAAGCACAGCCTCCTTTGGGTCGAGAACTCCACATGGTGGGTCAACTCCGAGTCTCTTCATGTTGGTTGTCTTGATTCCATATCCGATGCGACGAGCAGAGGAGTTGATCACCTTGATGTGGTAGGTGTGCTTGTCATCATACGGAGCGTTGAAGACGATTTTGGCGTTTGGTTGGGTCTGGATGTCTCCTGGTGGGACGGATTGAGCCATGGAGATCTGTAGAAGGAGTCGTTAGAACTCAGTGAAGATTATGGATATTTCGACTGCTTTTATACAGATTTCTTATCAGTGCTCTAGATCTCTCCTTCATATTTTAAGGAGATAAGAATAAAGTTTACGTCTAAATTTTGAAACTATGAAAAACGTAAATCTTAGTCATGTGTGAGACGACTTTTTTAGACTGTAGTTTACAACAATCTTTGAAAATCTCAAAATTTTCAAATTTCTGATCTTTCAATTTCCAAATATCAAAATTTTTGAATTTTTCGAAACCAATTTTCTGAGATTTTGATTTTTCTTAAGTTCTGAACTTTCTGAATCTCCAAAAATTTGATAACTTCCGAATTTACAAAATCTAGGTTGCTGAAATTCTGATTTATCGAAACAAATTACTCAATTACTGAATTTTCGAATTGACAACTTACCAAAAGTTAACTTTTGAGTTTCCGAATTTTAGAATGTTCAAAATTCAAAATCTCTGGAGTTTCTAAATTTTGAATGTCTGAAAAAATGTTTCGAGAATTGGGGAATTTAAGAACTTGAAACCCTTAGAGTTCCTGAATATTTGAAACTATGCATTTGAAGCACCGTATTTCCTCTAATAGAGCCCACACGAGATGATTCAAAAAATTGAAGCTCCATGGGCTTCTATTAGAGAAAAGGGCGGTAATTCAAATTCCAGAATTTTTGGAACTGTGATTTTAGAACTTGACAATTTCTCAATTTCTGAATCTTCTAATTTCTAAATTTAGGAATTTCAGAATTCTTGAATTTCGAATTTTGAGATCTTGAAATCTCGGAATTTTGGAATTTAGAACATGGAATTACTACAGTCACAAAAAGCCTTCTCTCACATGACTTGTCTTAAGATATACGTTTTTCAAAGTTTCAAAATTTCAACGTGAACTTTACGTTTATCTTTCCAATATCTGAAGGAGAGATCTAGAGCACTCATAAGAAATCTGTATAAAAGCAGTCGAAATCTGCATAATCTTCACTGAGTTCTAACGACTCCTTCTACAGATGGCCATGGCTCAATCCGTCCCACCAGGAGACATTCAGACCCAACCAAACGCCAAAATCGTCTTCAACGCTCCGTATGATGACAAGCACACCAATCACATCGATGTAACTGGTGATCAACTCCTCTGCTCGTCGCATCGGATATGGAATCAAGACAACCAACATGAAGAGACTCGGAGTTGACCCACCATGTGGAGTTCTCGACCCAAAGGAGGCTGTGCTTCTCGCTGTCTCCTGCGATGCTTTCGCTTTCGGACAAGAGGTTGGTTTTAGAAGTCTTGTTTAATTTACTCCTTCTCATTTTCCCCCTTTCCCCCCTTTTTCCCCTTCAGTCTCATTTCCCTTTATTCTTTTCTTTTTTCCTTCTTCGTTTTTCTTTATTTTCGAATTAATTTTTCCTTCCAATTTTTTTATCTGCATAATCGTTATCGTTCCAGGACACCAACAACGACTGTATCCAACACTCCAGACGGCGCCGCCAAGCAATTCCGTCGTGAATGGTTCCAGGGAGACGGAATGGTCCGTCGCAAGAACCTCCCAATCGAGTACAACCCATAACTCTGGTGCATCCTCTTTTCCGATATGAAATTTTATTTGGTTCTGATTTTTTTGTCTTTGTTTTTTGTACGCATAGAAAAAACATCACAATATAAACGACATAAACAGGACAATTGCAAGAGGAAGCAATAATTATGACTACTGTTAACAGTGTTTTAGGGACTCAATTTTTGAACGACTACCAAAATCAAAAACACGTTGTGCTTTTTTAAGAAACCGTTTTGTAAATCTTATAGAAAGGACATGTTCATTTACAAATATAAAATAGAAAATACACAATTCGCAGTTATCATCAGAATTTCCAATTTAAAAGTTTTACTTTCCAGTGGCATTGACAAGTTCCGGTGCACGATAAGCCAACTCTGTCATGCTTCCCTGAAAACGAAATTTTGCTTTTTCTCTAAATAACTAGACGGTCACATTGTATAGTTTCGCTTTGATTCCACTTCTCTCTAATGCTGTAAAAATGACAGATGCCTGGATTCCAGTGTTGCATGCCACGTAGATTTGATTTCCAGCTGTCAATCCGAGCTTAGCGATCTTCGCATCCACTTCTTCTTGACTCAAAAAACCATTTGGACCGATAACGTCAGCCATTGGGAAGTTGATAGCTCCAGTTACATGGGATCCCTTCGCTTCTGAAAAGATCAAATGAAAAGCATGACATTAAAAAATCCCTTACTTGTTCCTGGGTATGTGGCAGAGAGAGGATCTTGTCCAGTGAATTGAGATGGGATTCTGGCGTCTATGTAATCAGCGTGTTTCTCGGCAAGATGGTTGAATGGAATATCTTCAAAGTTGGCCAAGATTTCAGAATTCAATGATCGGATGTCAACATTTCCGAGTTGGGGCTTCACGGTTTCTTGATTCGTTGAACCTCCAGCAGCCTTCCAAGCATCTAAACCTCCGTTAAGAAGAGTCACATTTGTGAATCCGTAGACCTGAAATAGTAAAATTGAAAACTTTTGACACTGGACTATAAGAGTCAAAATAACAAGAGATGACTATCCTAAATAAACAAACAGTTATAGTTTTAATGATTTCCAGAAAAAAAAGAATCATTGACTTCCATAAATCCAAAATTGTCACTGTTCTACTCTCTTCTTTTCTCTTGTTCTCTCCAAAAGTTCACAAACATTTTTTCGGGTGACTAACCACTTTTTGGATTTGCAAACATTACTGAAAAAGATCACCATCATACATTTTGCTATATAATGTTCATGGTTTCAATTGAAAATACATCAATTACTATTCATTTCCATATGATTTCTACTAAACTGGCTGTTATTTTCTTAATCTTGGGATATTCGTTGGCTGCTCCAGCTAACAAACAAGAAAGAAGAACTTCTACAACAACCAGTGCGATTGGAAATGGAAGAAACGAATTCAATAGAAACTCGAACAGTCAGATGGGATCCGGCTATGGAGGCCAAAACGGGGACAGAAACTCCAGAAACAAGAGAGCATCTGAATCAAACGGATTCGGTGGACAGAATGCTCAAGTTAGCCAAAATGAGTTTAGTAGATCTCAAGGGTCAATCTCAAACGAACAAATGGAATCTGGTGCCGATGCACAGAACAACCAAAATGGCTTCGGAGGATTCAGGCAGACCACAGAAAGCGCACAACGTGGATTTGATTCAAATAACAAAAGGGGCAGAAACAAGAACTTCAGAAGCAAAAGAGCATCTGAGACAATGGGCTTCGGTGGACGGAACGGTCAGGGAAGCCAAAATGGATTCAGTGGATTTCGAGGATCCAGCTCAAGCGATCAGATGAGTTCTGGATTTGGTGGACAGAGTGGTCAATCAGGATTCAGTGGACAATCTGGATCAAGTGGATTTGGCCAAAATGGTTTCAGTGGTCAAAGTGGATTTGGTGGAACTAGCTCAAGCGGTCAAATGGAATCAGGATTTGGAGGATCAAGCTCAAACAATCAAGGAACATCTGGTCAAACAGGAATGTTTGGACGAAATCAGGGATTCGGTGGACAAGGAAGCTTCTCCTCAAACAGTGGACTCGGGCAAAATGGATACAGTGGAAGATAAATGATAATCTTAAAATCCCCTTGTATGATTCTCTTAATGTTTTTTTGCGAACGAAACGAATAAAATTTTCATACCTTAAAAGTCCAATAAGCTCTTGAAGCAAACATCATCCCAGACGCAGCTCCTCTGCTGTAGATGACCACTTGATCATTGTTATTCACTCCCAACAGACGAATGTATTTTTGGAAAACTTCTGGTGGATAGAGGTCAAATTTGATGTATTCTGACTTGAAGTAAGCGTAATCAAACGAATAATGGGCGGCTCCAGGGATGTGTTCTGTTGCGTAGGCATCTGCAGGCATCCACGTGGCGTCGATGACTCTGACTTTCTGGAACGAGTCCTATTTTTTAGAAATCTTCACTGGAAGGCTCACATTCAGATTCTGGAGCAACCATTGCGGTGTTACTAAATTATTGGTGCTCATGGCTCTGAAATCGGGAGACAATAGTTGAGAATTGGCAGATTGTGGTTGGTTAATCAACAGAATAATAACAAAGACAAGAGTTAGTGTACACGGAGAAGAAAAAGAAGGCACACACCTTTTGAATACACTTATCATGATTCGTGTTGGGGTGGAAAATTAAGAGAGAGGTGAAGAACCGGGAAACTGCCGATTTTCTGAGTGATTCGACGAAATTTATAGACATTTTCAACCATATTCTGCTGATAAGACTCACGTAGTTTCAAAGCGAAGTTACAAATACTTTTTCAACCTCGATTTCTTTTTTCTTTCGCAGATGAGAGAAATGGCTAGAGACACGTTCGAATGGAAGGTAAAATAGAGAGAATGGGGAAGAGTGAGACATAGACAGACAACGAAATTAGAGATGATTGATGATGAAGAGACGATAGAGAACACGAGAGCAATTTGGTCATGGATGGGGTATTATTGGGAGAAGGGGAAAGGTCTTTTTTGGAAAGAGAGTTGGTGTATGGTGCTAATGAATTGACTAATTCTCTATAGATAAGGAAATTTCTTGAAAAGTTTCATAAACTTTTATAAGAAATTTGATAAACTTCTGATGAACTTCTGATCCTTATTTTTCTGAACAATAATTCCACAGGATTCGAACTGATGTGGTATGCGGATACGCTCTAATGAGAAGAGGTGTGGACGAATTTTAGGGGGAAACGAGAACAAAAAATAGTGGGAGCGAGAGAATACAATATCAGTGAAATACAGTAAGAAACAATTTGTTCTCAATAAATTCGATGTTCAGAAATTAAGTTTTTAGCAAAACGATTCATTAAACGCAAATACAAAAAATCTATCAGTTCAATGCAATGGTTTCTCTTTTGTCGGAGAAACAGCCGGCGAAAGTTCAGTGAGCTCATCGATGAAACGATTGATGTCCTTGTTAATTGGATCTCTCTTACTTCCTCTTTTGCGCTGAAATAAGGAAAATTTTAAAATAATTTCGGAACACAAAATTTACAGAAATGTAATCGAGAACAATTGCATAGATTCCAGCATATTGGGTGAAGGATTCAATGGCACTTGGACGTTGCTGCTTGATGTCTGCCATTATTTCGCAAATCTAAAACTTCGAAATCTACAAAAAGTAAAATCTCCTGTGAGATTACATTTGGTTCCATTCCGCTGTTAAGCTGACTGATGGCGTAGAGAGCTCCGATAAAAGTACACGCACGGCCACAACCAAAAACACTAACCACACAGACGTTTGCGTTTTGGATCTGAACTCATTCATTTTTCAATTTTGACCTAAAACTTGATATATACCTGTTTTTCTGAAAGAAACTGATGAATCATTTTGATAATTGGACGAGTTTTGGACGGTTGTTGAGAGTGTTGCCAGAGAGATGGTGTACTTGACACATAACAGAATCTGAATTTCCTTCAAGAAGAACCTCGATTGTGTACTCTTTTGGATCTCCTGCCACGTCGGCTCTCCGATTGTTGATGAACATTTTTCCAACGTATTCATATGTACCGTAGTCTTCTTTAAATAACGAGGTCGGAGTATTTTTCAACGCCTTCTCAGGAACCATTAAATAAACAAGAGTGATCTGTTCTTGGTAGATCATATGCCAGAAATCTTCCACAAAACTCTCATTCTCAAATTGCGGTAGTTGAGCGACAATCAATTTGTGTTTGAACTGAAAACGCTTGGTTTTTGAGCTATTCAAATCTGTATTTTGTTACCGATTTCATATGGATATGGCTGGCATTAATGTAATTGACATCGTCATGTCCTGGGCGGTTCAGCTTCACACGATTGTCGTCGTAGATTTTTGGGGACTGAAAAAATGAATTAGTTGGATAGATGTCAATTGTTAGGGTACCCCATCACGATTTCTCTGTTTGTTAGCATCAAATGCTTCAGTTGATTTGTTGGAAGTCAGAGAGTCGAGAAAGGTGTACTCCTCTCGGATTTTGAGGATGTCTAAATTCAAATTATTTTATTATCAGTAATATCCCACAGAACTTTACCGTTATGAGTGTTGAAAAAGTTCAGAGCCGCTTCCATTCCCATCCAAGACTTTGTCCTTGGTTTGGGCACTGCATGAAATTCAGTTTTTTCATCATCTTCTGCTTTCGTATCAACATTTTCTCTCGATCCTTCTTTTTTCATTTCTTTCTTTTTTTCCTTCCTCTCTTCTTTACTTTCTTCTTTCTTTTCTTCTTTTTTATCCTCTCTTTTGTCCACTAATTTCTTCTATTCTTTTTTCTTTTCTTCCAACATCATCTTCATTTTCAGCTTCTCTTCCGCTTCTCTCATCTCTTCTCTCCTTATTCCAGCCATCAAATCAGTCGACGATGGTGTCCCGACGTCTTCTTCCAAATCAATCGACCTGTTAACGATTTCCATCCGACTTTTCGAATCAGCTTCTCGAGAATGGCTGCTTCTGCTTGTGTTCATTTCCTTCTAAAAATGAATATCCAGATTTTAATTATTAATTTTTCAGTTACCGAATTAGTCTTCTGTGTTCTACTGCAAATACTCTTATTTCTGTCGGACGATCTCTTCCGATTTCTCATTTTCGATTTGAGAAATCTCGAAGGGAAATCCCATTTTGATCGTCTGAAAATTCTACCATAGATTCATAGAATTCTAGTTTCCAACTCACTCCGAATTCTTGGACGTCGTGGTTTTCTTCTTTCCGTCATGACTCTCACGACTTCTTTGACGCAACGTCTTCTTGACTCTCAGAAACAATGAAGGCGATTTACGGGCGGAACTTTTTTCTCTTCGCTCATTTTTATCTTTTCTTTGACTCGAAATTGACTTTTTTGTGCTGTCGAGATTCCTTGCTTTTTCCAATAAACGACAAAATTGTGAAATGGGCGCTTCGAGGGGCCTGTGAGCTTCTGGATGTTATCACTTCTTTGCAGGTTGTATAGGTTAAGCGTTGGCAGTGTTGTCTGCATATTTCAAGTGTGATAGGTCACGTCATTTGGAATTCTTTCAGTCACAACATTTAAAAAAAACTAAAAGCAATCGGGATCAGCTGGCAGATGTGTGGAAATGAATATAGTCAACTTTGAGGTCATTTATCTGGATTCCTGTAAACGATATCAAAATTTTGTCAACTGATAAAATATTTTTGATATTATGATAAGTAATTTATTAGTTGACACATTTTTTCTGTTCGTTTAGGAATCGAGATAATTGAGCTCAAAGTTTCTCTTGTAAGTGGGCTTCTATTAGAAGAAGAACTGTTTATCAACTTAATTGAACTTGTGGTCATGATTTTTGCCCGGTCAGGAATTTAATGAAATTATAAGTTGTCATATTCGCTGAAAAACGTGATCTTTTGAACTGGATACAAGACGAACATCTAATTTTAACAATTTAAACCTTGTGATGTTTTCAAATGTTTTTCCATGGAAAACATGAAACCCAATTGATGAGATCTGACGAATTTGACAATATTTATTTAATTAAATATTGTTTTCTCCAGATTTTCCTAACCATTTCATACAGTTTAACCTTTAAAAAGAAAGGAAATAATTCTTTATGTTCCCAGCCGCCCACATGGGAACCGTGACTTGGTTCCCAGACGGCAAAGATGCATAAATAGAAGACTCCGGGTTAAAAATTCGTAACATTCTGAATCTTATAGTCAGACCTATCCAAAGTTTGTTTCTGATTTAGTCCAATTACACTACCGCCTGACTATCCATTATTAGTTCACATTAAAATGTCATCCACAGGTCACTCGTTATCCTCCCCTCTCCTCCGCTAGACTATATCCAGTTTCTGACGTTCCTATTCAAAACCGGAACGCTCTTTTTTTCCCACCCAGCTATATCACAAATCCACACGAGAAAGTGACCAAGTCACTTTCCATTTTTTTTGCCAGAAGATGATCACACATTGCAAATGTAGTGTCCATTCAACCAACAATCTCTTCTCTTTTTTCCCGATCACAACCTCCACTATTATTTTTTGTTCTTCTTCTTTTTTTCTCAATGTTATTGATATCTCTATTTTGTTTTCTTCTCGTTTTCTTTTCTTCTCCTGAAAACAACAACAAAATATAGCCGGAATCGGCGAGCGAAATAGGAGAAAGTGACCGTCGATCTTCTGAAATTCTGAAATTGAACATCTGAATTCGGTCAGCAAGGTGCGCGTATAAAAGTGTTTACTAATCGTATCAAAAATGACACTGTCTTCAATTTCTGATTAGAACCAAATTTCTCTTTTTTAACGAAAATTTCTTACCTATTCCCAAAAAGTTAACTTGAATTTCAGATCCGAAATGAACTCGATCATCTCCACACTGACATTTCTAGCACTCATTCTGGCCATCTATTCCATGCCCGATCCACCTTCGTTTCCTATTGTAAGTATTGCGGCGAGGAAACGCCTATCTCTTTTTGTTCATCAATTTCCTTTCCCTCGTTTTCTCCTAGAGAAACATGGAGTGTGTCGGCCTCAATAGCTCAGTTGGGAGAGCGTTAGACTGAAGATCTAAAGGTCACCAGTTCGATCCTGGTTTGGGGCAATCCTTTTTTCATAATTTCCTTTTACTATTACAGAAAGAAATTTGCGCTGCATACGGTGAAAAATGTGTGAACAAACTGAACAGAAGGGACTGCCCGCAGAGAATTGTGGAATGCGAGAAGTATGCAAACCAAGGAGTTAGAACAACATGGTCTTTCTGTGAGTTTAATTTTATTCTGGTAGATATTGAATGAACGAAATTTGAGGCATGTTCTCCAACAACTACGATCTTTCCGCATGTCATCAGAGGTCACAAATCGACTTCCAAATCATTCAGTCATGGATCAGCAAGGATCAATTCAAGTACCTTCCAGAATAATTGAAACGTTTTCATCTACGAAAATCAGAGAAAAGGGAAAAAAGCTCTCGAGTTTCCGTCGCCTCTATTAATTACTTTAATAAATTTTTGAATCTGAAAGCATTCATTCAATGTTGATAGAAAGATGTTGTTTCAGGTTTACCAAACTCATCTTCGGAGTACATGATACGAACAATCGGAGTACAAAAATTAGATTTTTAGTTCGGTCAGCATATTTTCATGAGGAGGCCGTGGCTGTCCAACAACGAGAACTACCGTAACCTACAAATATTGTCGTCATTTTCCCCCAGCTGACAAAATTTTAGACAATAAATTCGGTAAATAAAAATACTTTTAGGTTACGGTAGTTGTCATTGTGGGACTTTCTTCCATGGCTACCGACATTTCTCTTCCACAGCTCCGATGTTTCGTACCAGAATAATGTGAATTACATTATTAATATTTTAGTTTTTGTATTTCTCTTGGTTTCTATCAGTTTAGTTGTGGTGTTTTCGAAAATCGAAAAAAATCTCTGTTTGGATCTAAACTTTAGACCTCTGAAAATATTTTTAAGTTCTGAAATTTTTAGAGTTAACAAGAGATTTCAGCAAATGAACTTTTCTAACTCGAAAGTCGGGAGTCGGAATTCCTGAAATATCTGGAATGGACTTGAACTATTTTGAGGAATCGTCACCAATGCTCCAATGTTTCAAGTAAATATTAAAAAGTTTTGTCCTGTACTGTGTTTTTTCTGCAATTCTGTCAAGCGAAAATGTCTTTATGATATCTCCATGTATTTTAGGAAACTGGGGTTTTTCAAAACTCAGGTTAAAGAACTCAGATTCGGTTTGCTATTAAATCATCTCAACAGTTGTAAAACAGGGGTTGTTGTAGAAAAATGGACACTAATGTTTTCCAGACCTGGAAACTTTTAAGCTCGTTGAAGAATCATGTTAACGGAAACCTTTCCGAGTCCCTCGAGGAACTTATCGATTTCTTTTCTTCTCGGGTCAATGGCAACTTCTGGCCGGAGATTGGTCAGATTCCGGATAAGACCGCTACTGAAGCGGACCAAACTACGACAAACTTATGACAAAGTTCCGACCTAGTAGTATTTCAACTTTTGGCTTCCGACCAAAATTTCCGACCAGAACCTGGTAATATTCGTCCTTAAAACAAGTCCTCTTCAACTTCTGACCAGAATTTACAAGCCGACAGCCGAGTTCCATAACCTCAAGGAGTAAACTTTATATTTATTGATCATAGTTTTTTTTCGGTCAATCTGAAGCACATAAGGGATTCTGGCATTCCCATGAACCAAAATTCCATATCGTTCCCATAACCATAAGACATCACTTTTTCAATATTTTTTGCTGCATGGGAATTTCTCGAAAAAACAAGCAGCATAAAATCATTTTTGAACGTAACTTTTTCCTCTGCAACATGCATTTATCACCAGCCCGGCGCCTATCATATTATCACTTCCCGATCAACACGTCTTCCGATCATTTATCCGTTTTTCCGTATCACTTTCTATGCCATTCATAGTTATCCGATGCTATTCGTCCACTAAATATTGTTTACTGATTCCTCTTTCGTGACTTCTACTACTTGAAAATTGGAGCTCATTTCGAATGAAGAATAATGATGATGAGGAAGAACAATTGGTGCCAATTCACAGAAGATAATGTACGTTGTATTTGTTAAGTGAGAGAGTCAATTTGAAAATCGAGCAACAACAACAACAAATGGTCAAGATCAAAGGTTTAGGAACGGGTTACTGTAAATCGCGAGGAGTCAAATTTAAGCTGTTTTCGGGGTCAAATGTGAAACTTAAAAATGTTACGAAGTTTTCCTTTTGCTCTTAAAATTTCAGGACATGTCTATTTAGAACTACTTTCATTTTTATATTTGGAGAAGATACAAGGACCTAATTCGCTTATAGCTTCAAGAAACTATAGGCTTATAGGGTAACTTATAGACTATGTGTTACTAACTGTCGAGGAAGAATCTGGGTAGAAAAGTCCCAGCTAGGAAAATGAAGAGCTTTTCAAAGTTTTTAGAGTAATTCAAAATGACAAAAGCTTTAAACCGATCGTCTGAACCATTCTAAATCTTCACCCAAATTTTTCGAAGTGTTGGGTGTCTGTATTGAAGTTTTCTAGCCTCTTAAAAATTGAACAATTTATTATTCTGATACGGAACATCGGATATGTGAAACGCCGTTGCTCGAAGACCTCACAACGACAACTACCGTAGCCTAATAAATTTTGTTTTTAATCTTGATTTTCGCTATTAAAAGGTTAAAAAATAACATAAAATTCAACGAAAAGTGATGATAACGAGAAAATTTACTGTAGATTACTGTAGTTGTCGTTGTGGGGGCCTTCGGCCACGGCCACCGGCGTTTATCCTAAACAGCTTGGCTTTTTGTATCTATCATAAACATATTTGATAAAATAGAGTGTTTCTAGTTTTTTTGTCAGAAAAATTTCAGAAGGTACTACCAGGAAGTCCACAACTTAGATTGTTTTTGTCCTCCTGGTAAAAGTTTTGAAATTCAGAGCTTTCAGAAGTTCCTTCGAACTTTGGCATCTCCCGAAAATCACATGAACCCTGACTCATTTTTTACCACGTTCTTCTTGCATGCCCTATTATTTTTCCGCCTCCAACTGCTCACCTATCCCATCTACTCTTGGTTTTTGTTCATTTTTTCACCGATCTGTTTGCCAGTTGTCACCTCCTCATCCCATCCCCTCCATCTTCTTCTTTTTCTTTCATGCCTTCCTTCGTGCCAAGATTAATTGGCCTCACTTCATCAACCAATCTTTGGGGCACCGCCCATCTCTTCCACTCCGCACGCATCCCGTCCCATTTAAACCAGTCATTCTTTCATACTGAGCATTATCTTATCTCTTCTTTTTTTCATCTTCTTCTTTAAAAAT